AGGTGGTGTGGGGGAGGTGTGGGGGTGGCCAGGGAGGTGAAGGGGGAGGTGACGTGGACAGGTGTGGGGGCCGTGGGGGAGGTGAGTGGGGAGGCGCTGTGCGGAGGTGATGTCAGGAGGCCGCAGAGGGAACATGTGGGAGCGGGGGGCGTCTCCCTGGAGCCGGCTCCCCGGGTCGGCGGAGGAGCGCAGCCTTTGAAAGCTCCGCGGTTCACACGCAAGGCCAGGGGGCGCCTCCCGGTGTCCATCACAGCCTCTGACACCAGGAGGGAGCCTCGGGCTGCAGCTCCCGGGGGGCCCAGTCCAGCCGCAGGAGCCGGAGGGAGCTCTGACGTGCCCAGGCCCTGCGGCGGGCGAGAGGAGGCAGCGTGGCAGAGACACAGCAGGGGGGCGGGAGGCGACGCTCAGGGCGGGCCCCAGGGCCTCAGGGGCCGACCCCACGCAGGCCCGGCCTCCGGCGGGAAGCAGCGTGCACCGAGAGCGCCGTTCTCGAGTGACGGCGAAGCAAGGCCCACGCAGTCCCTGCTCGCGCCGGACACGAGCCCGGCCGGCGGAGGAAGCCGCGGGATGAGGCCGGCTCTGAGCTCGTCCGCGGGAGGGCCGGGGCACGCGCCCCGGAGGGAGGGAGGGAGGGAGGGACGGAGGGAGGGCCCGGGGGGCGCGCCCAGGGCTCCCTGCTCCCTGCAGTGTCTTCACGCTTGTGACGGGGCTGGGAGCAGCCAGCACCCCGAGGCCGGAGCAGTCCGACACCCCTGCAGAGGGACTTCGCGGTCGGGGCCGGGGCTGCTTGGCGCAGCGTCACCGTCCGCTTCTGCCGCCGCTGCTGCTCCTGCGACTGTGCACGCAGAGCTCGGACCTGGGGCGCGCTGACGGCGGGCCCGCGGCTCCCCAGGAAACCCTCTGCGTCGCTCCGGAGCCTTAAATGCAGCCAGCACTTCCAACAAGAGGTTCTTGCCCCCACAGGAAAGTGAGCCCTGTTCTTGCGACCCCTCGCCCTCCCCGCCACACCTCGCGCCTCGGCCACTGCCCGGCCACCACCGCCAAAGTGGGTGCCGTCAGCCCAGAGGCCAGGGGCGCGGCCCAGGGGAGCACGCCGAGACCACCTCGCGGGGTGCTGGTATTGGCTCTGAACTGAGACACAGCCACGACTAAGCAGGAGACATTTCTGCTTAATCTCACGCAGGGGGGTCTGGGGGGCCTCACGCAGGGGGGGCTGGGGGGCCTCATGCAGAGGGGACCAGGGGACCTCACGCAGGGGGGCCCTCAAGGGGGACCTTACACGGGGGGGCCGAGGGGACCTCACACAGAGGGGACCACGGGGGCCTCACGCAGGGGATGAGGGGGACCTCACTCAGGGGGGCCCTCACATAGGGGGGACCTTACATGGGGGACCGGGGGGACCTCACACAGAGGGGACCACGGGGGCCTCATGCAGGGGACGAGGGGGACCTCACACAGGGGGGACCTCACGCAGAGGGGACCCAGGGGGCCTCACACACGGGGGACCTCACGCAGGGGGGACCTCACGCAGGGGAGCAGGGGGAACCAGGGGGACCTCATGCAGGGGGACCGGGGGGACCTCACACAGGGGGGACCTCACGCAGGGGGCCCTCACGCAGGGGGGACCCGGGGGGCCTCACACACGGGGGACCTCACGCAGGGGACCAGGGGGACCTCACGCAG